ACAGGCGTGAGCCACCGCGCCGGCCCATATGCTATTGCTGTTTTCAGTAGAACATTACAAGAAAGAGATAAGCTGAGACAAGAATTGGCAGGTTAATAGAAATGATAGGAAGGAGAAAGTCCGTAAATATGAAGCCGTGAAGGAATATTAAAGACAACTACTTCTAGCTCCATATAATAGGAAACAAGACCAAAAAAGTTGTCTCCGAGAGTCAAAGGTCTACTAAAACTCAGCCCTCATGGCAAGGGCCGTATTAAGGATAGAGCCTCTCCAGCATGTCTGGCGGCCTCCGCGTAGCAGGGATTAAGCAGAGAAAGGCTGGCGTGCAGAGGAAAGAACTTTGGGTATAGTTACAGAAACAGAATTGACTGGAATAAAATACATCAAAAGCTTACTAGTTTTCAAGCAAATCGAATGGTCAAAGACACTAGGAACCTGAAACTACTTGGCGTTTAAAATACCTCTGTGGTGTTCGCAGCCGCTGCCACGCCGCCATCACTCTAACGCCGGCGCTGCCTCTCGCTCCGCGAGCTCCCGGCAAGGAGAAGGAGAAGGGGATACGGAGGCCTGTATGCCATGGCCGGTTAAAACGCCGACTGCCGCAAAGCCACCTGTGGTAAAGCACCCAGGAAGCAACTGGCTACGAAAGCCGCTCCCAAGAGTGCGCCCTCTACTGGAAGGGGGAAGAAACCTCATCGCTACAGTCCCGGTACTGTGGCGCTCCGTGAAATTAGACGTTACCAGAAGTCCACTGAAGTTCTGATTCGCAAACTTCCTTCCCAGCGTCTGGTGCGAGAAATTGCTCAGGACTGCAAAACAGATCTGCGCTTCTGGAATACAGCTATTGGTGCATTGCAGGAGGCAAGTGAGGCCTATCTGACTGGCCTTTTTGAAGACACCAACCTGTGTGCTACCCATGCCAAACGTGTAGTAATTATGCCAAAAGACATCCAGCTAGCACAATGCATATGTGGAGAACGTGCTTAAGAATCCACTATACTGAGAAAATATTTCATTCTCAAAAAAAAAAAAAA